TCGGGAGCCAGATATCCCGAAGACTGCTTTCAGGACCAGATATAGTCACTATGAGTTTCTTGTCATGTCTTTTGGGCTGACCAATTCCCCGACAACTTTTATGCACTTGATGCACGATGTGTTCCGGCCTTATCTTGACTCATTCGTCATTGTGTTTATTGACGACATTCTGGTTTACTCCCGGAGTCGGGAGGATCATGAGCAGCACCTGAGGACTGCGCTTCAGACTTTGAGAGAAAAGAAATTATATGCAAAATTTTCAAAGTGTGATTTTGGCTAGACTCAGTGGCATTCTTGGGTCATATAGTATCAAGTGATGGGATCCAGGTGGATCCGAAGAAGATAGAAGCAGTGCAGAGTTGGCCCAGACCGTCCTCAGCTACAGAGATCTGGAGTTTTTTTGATTTGGCGGGGTATTACCGTCGCTTTGTAGAGGGATTCTCATTTATTGCAGCACTTATGACCAGGCTGACCCAGAAGGGTGCTCTGTTCAGGTGGACAAAGGAGTGTGAGGAGAGCTTTCAGAAGCTCAAGACAACTTTGACTACAGCCCCAGTATTGGTATTGCCTTCAGGTTCGGGGTCTTATACAGTTTATTGTGATGCGTCGCGAGTTGGCCTCGGCGCGGTGTTGATGCAGGACCGTAGGGTGATTGCCTACGCGTCCAGACAGCTGAAGGTGCATGAAAAGAATTATCATGTCCACGACCTTGAGCTAGCAGCCATTGTTTATGCCTTGAAGATTTGGAGGCACTATTTGTACGGTGTCCCTTGTGAGATCTATACCGATCACTGGAGTTTGCAGCATCTGTTCAAGCAGAAGGATCTTAATTTGCATCAGAGGAGGTGGCTAGAGCTGCTTAAGGATTATGACATCATCATTTTGTACCATCCTGGGAAGGCCAATGTGGTGGCCGATGCTCTGAGTCGTCGGGCAGAGAGTTAGCCGGCCAATTTGTGAGATTGAATATTTTTGAGCCGAGTCGAGTATTGGCTTGTGTGGTCTCTCGGTCTTCTCTTTATGATCGTATCAGGGAGCGTCAGTATGATGACCCCCATCTGTTTGTCCTTAAGGACACGGTCCAGCACGGTGATGCTAAGGAGGCCACTATTGGAGATGATGGTGCATTGAGGATGCAGGGCAGGATATGTGTGCCCAATGTAGATGGTTTGCGTGAGTTGATTCTCTAGGAGGCTCATAGTTCGCGGTACTCTATTCATCCGGGTGCCGCAAAGATGTATCAGGACTTGAGACGGCATTACTGGTTGAGGAGAATGAAGGACATAGTAGAGTATGCGGCTAGGTGTCTGAATTGCCAGCAGGTAAAATATGAGCATCAGCGACCAGGTGGATTGCTTCAGAAGTTAGAGATTTTGGAGTGGAAATGGGAGCGGATCACGATGGATTTTGTTGTTGGGCTTCCACGGACTCAACGGAAGTTTGATGCAGTTTGAGTGATTGTAGACAAGCTGACCAAGTCAGCTCATTTCATTCTTGTGATGACTACTTATTCTTCCGAGCAGTTGGCTCGAATTTATATATGCGAGATCGTCAGGCTTCATGGCATACCAGTATCTATCATCTCTGACCGAGGTACGCAGTTTACATCACGGTTCTGGAGGGCTGTACAGCATGAGTTGGGTACTCGGGTTGAGTTAGGCACAACATTTCACCCTCAGACGGACGAACAGTCCGAGCGCACTATTCAGATACTGGAGGATATGCTTTGTGCTTGTGTGATAGAGTTTGGGGGTGCTTGGGACTAATTTTTGCCACTTGCGGAGTTTGCTTACAACAATAGTTATCAGTCCAACATTCAGATGGCACCGTATGAGGCTCTGTATGGTAGGCGGTGTCGGTCCCCAGTGGGATGGTTTGAGCCGGGCGAGGCTAGATTATTGGGTACAGACTTGGTTCGGGATGCCTTGGAGAAAGTTAAGGTAATTCAGGATAAACTTCGCACAGCCCAGTCCAGACAGAAGAGTTATCCGGACCGGAAGGTTCGTGATGTTGTATTCATGGTTGGTGAGCGGGTCTTGCTCCGGGTTTCGCCCATGAAGGGTGTTATGAGGTTCGGAAAGAAGGGCAAGCTGAGCCCAAGGTTCATTAGTCCTTTTGAGGTGTTGCGGCGTGTTGGGGAGGTTGCTTATGAGATTGCCTTACCCCCCCAGCTTAGCAGGAGTTCATCCGGTATTTCATGTTTCGATGCTCCGGAAGTATCACGACGATCTGTCTCATGTGTTGGATTTCAGCTCAGTCCAATTGGACAAGGATCTATCTTATGTTGAGGAGCCAGTGGCTATTTTAGACAGGCAGGTCAAAAAGCTAAGGTCAAAGAACATTGCTTCCGTGAAGGTTTAGTGGAGGGGACAGTCGGTCGAGGAGGCGACTTGGGAGACTGAGTAGGATATGCGCAGCCGTTATCCTCATATTTTCACCACTTCAGGTATGTCTCTATGCTCGTTCGAGGACGAACGATTGTTTTAAGAGGGGAGGATGTAACAACCCAGCCGGTCGTTTTGAGAGTAATAACCCTGGCTCCCTATATACTGTTTCCCCCGTATCTTTTTCTGCCTATGTGACTTGTCGGGAGGTTTTGTTTTTGGTTTCGGAGTGTTTTGGGACACTTAGTCTCTAAAACAGAAGCTTAAGTCTTAGGATTTTGACCGTAGTCGGAACTGTATGAAGACGACTCCGGAATGGAGTTTCATCGGTTACGTTAGCTTCGTTGGATGATTTTGGACTTAGGGGCGTGTCCGGATTGTGTTTTGGAGGTCCGTAGCTCAATTAGGCTTGAAATGGCGAAAGTCGAATTTTTAGAATTTTAGACCGGTAGTGGAAATTTTGATATCGGGGTCGGATTCCGATTCCGGAAGTTAGAGTAGGTCCGTAACGTTGAATATGACTTGTGTGCAAAATTTGGGGTCAATCAGACGTGGTTTGGTTGGTTTCGGCATCGGTTGTCGATTTTGGAAATTTCTAGTTCATTAAGTTTGGATTGGAGGGTGAATTGTATTTTTAGCGTTGCTTGATGTGATTTGAGGGCTCGATAAGTTCATATGGTGTTTTAGGATTGGTTGGTATGTTTGGTTGAGGTCCCGGGGGCCTCGGGCGTGTTTCGGATGCTCAACGGGTCATTTTGGACTTGGGGAGTTGGCAGATTTTCTGGTGTTATTGCAGACATTTTTCTTCATCGCATTCGCGAGGGAGATCTCGCGATCGCGTAGGTCATCTGAGAGGTCAGCTAAAATTGCTCTTCGTGTTCGCGAAGATGAAGACGCGATCGCGTAAGGTTATTAGGCAGTGCATCGCGAACGCATGGGCTAGGCCGCATTCGCGAAGAAGAAGTGAGGCAGCAGTGGAGTTTGAGTGTTACTCTTCGCGGTCGCGTGAAAACAATTGCGATCGCGTAGGTGTGAGCAGTTAGTGCATCACATTCGCGTGAGGTGTTACGCGTTCGCGTAGAGTAAATTTCTAAGGGAGCGAAGTTGTTCTTCACAATCGCGAGGCCTTTTCCGCGATCACGATTAAGGAACCACTAGGCAGAATTTAAAGTTAAAAAACGAGGGTTTAAGTTCATATCATAAAATTTGATTGAGAGCTCGGTAGAAGGCGAAATTTGGAGAGATTTTCGGAGGAAGTTTGTGGGTAATGATTCGTAACTCCTTTATGGTTATATTCCACTAATCTATGCTTGAATTCATCATTTAATTTCGGATTTAGGGTGAAAATTGAGAAAAATTGAGAAAAGTTCTTAGGCCGAATTTTGGGGTTTTGATCGAGATATTGGTATCGGATTTGAGTAATTTTTATATGGTTAGACTCGTGAGTGGATGAGTGTTCGTATTTTGTGACTTTTGCCTGATTCCGAGACGTGGGCCCCGCGGGCGATTTTTGAGTTAATTTCGGATTTTTATTGAAAAATATAGTATTTTCTTATGAAATTGATTCCTATAAATTTTTGTTGACTGTATCGAATTATTTTGGCTAGATTCGAGCCATTTNTACCATTTTAATGAGTATTAATCTGTTTTCATTCTTAATTGAGTTATTCCAGTATGCGTAGCTATCCTGTTTAGTCTAATATCGCATATCTACGTTCTTTAACTGCTTACTTGGACTCTGTGAAGCATGCCTAGTTGATTTTCCTGCCTTTTTCATTGTTCTTTATCAGTATAGTCGTAGAAATCTTACTGTTAACGGTTGTATTTGTCGTTTGATCGGTGTATTTACTTTTGAGACTACGAAGCGGTTCCTCGGGAGTTCTCCCTGCATATTTACTTTGGGACTACGGAACGGTATTCCGGGAGATCGACGGACGGAAAAATTCGAGACGAAATACAATTTGATTCCCGTAATCAGAACCAAAACTAGGGTAAAATTGAAGAAAATAGCATACCTTATCTAGGAAATCAATCATTTACTTATCTACAACTTGAGAATAAAAAAGAAATACATACTTTACAAGCGATACATAAGTATTCCACAAAATTTCTCATAAATTAGAGATATTTTATTTTTTTAAATTATTTTTAGCCGGATCCCGGCACCCGTATCCGTACTAGGATCCGTATTCTCGAATCTTAGAATTTACATCTCGAAGGATTCGACCTCTAGATCTGCACCCGTATCGAACATCCGCACCGGTGTCCGAGCAACTTAGGTAGAAACATATGGGTGGAAGCTGACTCTCACTTATCGTGAATGTCAAAAAGGGAGTTGCAAAACCTTCTTGGCGCTATGAACCTATTATAGAAGAGATTAAAGAGTTTATTCAAAGTGAAAAAGTCGGGGTGACACACTATCACAGAGAAGCAATGGTGTGGCTGATTCTTTAGCTGGATATAGCCACTTATTGGACAACAACAACCCAGTAAAATCTCACAAGTGGGGTCTATGGAGGGTAGAGTATACGCAGACCTTACCCATACCCCCGATGGAGTAGAGAGGTTGTTTCCGGAAGACCCACGACTCAAGAAGATGAAAAGAGAGACAATATACCAGTACTATCGACAGAAAACAATAGAAATAATGACAGTAACGTAAAAACCAGAGAATAGATGCAAAGCACTAACAACAATCAGTAGATAAGGTCCGGCACAAAGAAAAACAATAGAACAGTGTGAACACAACATGAACCACTAGCAGTCTAAGACAACAACCACCTATTGGACACAGAGAAGAAAATTTTTCAGCTTTAACTCTACCAAGAGAAGCTAGGGGGCACTTAAGGGTTGACAAGTGGCAACTCCTTTCCTTCAAAATCGGAAAAAAGGCCCAAAGCTTACCTCCAATAATCAACAAGTTGAACCTCCCAGTTAGAACCTTCTGTGAGCTCACATGTTACTTGAGAATACTCCTTTCACTTGTTCTCTTTTTTATAGCATGTTCGGCCAAGCTTCTCAAAGGCCAAAAGCACTTATTTTTCCCAAAAGAGTATTTTTTTTTCAAAGTTGACGTGTTTGGCCAAGCTTTTAGAAGTTAAAAAAAAAAGCTTTTGAATAGAAGAAGAAGCATTTTTTAAAAAGCGGAAAAAATAGCTTCTCCCCAAAAGCACTTTTGAGAAAAATACACTTAGAAGCACTTTTTAAAAGTTTGGCCAAACACTAATTGTTGTTGAAAAGTGATTTTCAAATTATTTAGCCAAACACAAACTGTCTCCCACCAAAAGTACTTTTGAAAAAAATACTTCTCAAAATAAGTTGATTTTAAAAACTTGGCCAAGCAGCTATTAGTCTTATGAAAACAGTGTACATGGTAGCAAGTCTCCACAAGCTAGAAGCTATTCTTGTAAAGCTCATTAAGTACGTAGGCTAGTTATGTTTCACATTGCAAATAGGAGTCTTCCTAATCAGAAATTCTTTTTGCTTACTCCTTAGAGGCTTATCTCCTACACTATTGTCAAAGATTAAACCTCCTCAATCTTCTCTTTACTTGAGGATTGAACCGGTTCAAGTCTTACCTTTTTTGAAGAGGTAAGGCAGTCAATCCCCCTCTTTGTAACCTTTTATCATTATCTATAAAATATACCACTAAGGTGGTCTAAATTAAAAAACTATGATTATATTCCTAAAATACTTAAAATTAGAAATATGTTGGAATAAGTATCGTTTTCTTCTTCCATCAATAGTTGTTTGATATGGATAACATGAAGTAACAAAAATAAAGGTCTAATGGAAACTTACTCTTTCTTCATCATTGCACCACCAATCAATGACCAATGTCTCAAGATCCAATGAACACGGGAGAAAGCTGAAAGTCCAGGGAAGTCCAACTGTTGTAAGGCTGGAAGTTCTAAGAATTTCCAGCTTGATGGTGGAGGCTGCCACCCTTTCAACTCCAGTACGGACAGGAACTTATAAACAAAATATACATAAACCACAGTATGTCAAAACAAGGAAATATGACACACTTAATAAATGAAATGCAAATTGTTGAATAATTCATAAAACAACTTGGGCTAGACGACTGCGTTTTGCCACATCTTAGTGTTCATGATTGGTTTGAAAATTCAAAGATGGACTTCTAAACACTTGGAAAACCCCATTCACATGATTTAAAGAGTACAATCAATGTAAATCAATCCAAATTTTACATGTTCTGTCCATTGCAAAACTCTTTATTCTCAGTGTTCAGCAGCCAAATTTTGTTGAAAAGGTCTTGTTTCAATCTGCTGCCACTGTCCAACCATATTGGCCATGAGAATGTAATTCTTTAGTACGTACCAACTTAATTATCAGATTATCCTAAGTAGTGGAACTGTTAATGTTACTAAAGTGATGATTCACTAGCAAGTAAAAAATCCAAAAACAAAAAAGATAGTGAAGAGTATGAATAAACCTCAATGCACCATGGACCCAATTCAAGATTCTCGACATGGGCAACACTCTGAAGAAGTTCCTTCAAATATCTACACTCCTTCTCCAAGTTGCCTTCTACATTGTCAAAAGCAAAATTTAAGAGAAGGACTGCAGTGACAAGTGAATCCACATTTCTCTGCCGGATGCGTATCTCACTGCAGTACCCCAAAAGATCCAATTTTTGAATATACGGGGCTAATATTTCGAGCCAAAGATCATGATTATCATTTCCATAATCTTGTATGATCAATTCTCTCAGCTTCACAGAGCTGATTTCCAAACGATGAATGCCCTTGACACCATTTAGATCCAAGCACTCTAAGTTAGGGCAACCGGCTAATACCTTTTCCATTACATCATCAGTCAATTTCAGGTATCCAAATGAAAGAGAAACGAGACTACTCCAGTTTACACTACCAGTAGGGTTGAGTTGACAGTACCATAAAGCCAAATTCCTCAATTTAGTATTTGTATATGAAAATTGAGGAAACTCAATATCTTTGGTGATTTGTATCGAGAATTCCAAGTGCAAAAATTTCAACATTAGCAAGTTTAATTGCAAAATGTACCCATAAATCAATATCTTTAGCAAATCGATCCTCGTACCTAAGGCGCCGGACCCTAAATGATCGGATTTTCTCGCAATTCCTCCAATAATAAAGCTCTCTATGGATGGAAACCAGGGAAAAGAGATAGTCATTTTCGCTTTCACAAATGGGGAAGTCGAAATCGAGTGATATTGGGACGGCCTTCCAAAGAAACCTCCATCGTTTAGATAATACGCTGCTTCTCACAATTAATTTATTGTCACTCTCCGGCAACATAGAGAGGATGTGAATTACAATTGCGTCGGGCAAATCACTCAGTCGGTCTCTATCTCCTCTCGCCATGATTTTGCTCTGTGTTTCCATTGGAGTACAACCTGCACTTGAGGGAGCTTGCTGTTGTTTGAATTTGGAGAGCATAGGGGTTCTTTTTCCCGCAAGCAAAGGGACAGTCACCGATTTCGTATATTAACCGGTGCATCTTAGAATTTCAGTTTTTTCCGTTCAAATTTTCGGGTAAAAAAATATCATTAAATTAAGTTTTTTAGTTAAAAATTTTAGGACAAAATAAATACTTGTTAATCTCTAAATAATATCCCGAGAATGACTATATGTGTACTTGCCCAAGCAATTTTAGTTAAAATAGCACGGGCTAGCTAGTTTTCTAACCGGTAATTGAAAAAGAGTCAGCGTTTGCAAAGTCATTGAAGAATAATCACTATTTTGCTGCAACACGAAAAGTTCCAGCATAATATACTGGAGATTGGAGCACCTGTGTAAGAATTTCCAACATATTATGCTGAAACTCCGGCATACGAAACGTTCTAGCATAATATACTGGAGATTGGAGCACACGTGTATGAACTTCTAGCATATTATGCTGGAACTCCAGCACACGGAAAGTTCCAGCATAATATACTGGAGATTTGAGCACCTGTGTATGAACTTCCAGCATATTATGTTGGAATTCCAGCATATTTTGTTGGAACTCCAGCACATTATAAAATTCCAGCATGTTATGCTGGAAGTTCACATAAAAATTTGAACTCCAGCATATTATGCTTGAATATTTTTCGGATTTCGAACAATGTATTTATTCAGATTTATCTTTATATAAAAAGTGACTAAATTTCAATTACTTTTTAAACTGTGGCTATTTTTCAATTACTACTTGTAAATCTGATTTTTTTTTTTTTTTAATTTCACCTGCAATTTTAGGGGTGATTTACAAGAATGGCCTTAGAAGTGGGTGATTTTGATTTTTTGACTTTGTTTGTCCCATGAACAGAACTTCAAGTTTAATAAGTATTGCCCTTTATTTTTTCCGTGAGAAACACTTTTGAAGGTTTACAGACGGGGACAAAAATGAAGACCATTTATTTTCTACATCATTTGGTGTAATTTCCTGCCATTTTGGAGTGACCAAGAAATAAGGCCCATTCCTTCTCTTTACTTGGAAGATCTGCAGAAATAGGACATGTACATACCATTATTTCGCTTATGTTCACGTTTAGAAAAAATTTATGCAAAATAGTTCGAGCATAACTTTTCGCTTAGTGTTAGTCTTGTATATTTTTTTTCAAATTTCTATTATTATTTGTTGGTCTTTTTCTTCGGTTATTTTGTTATCTTGATGGTGTTACTGTTTGTTGTTAGTATTTTTCTTTTTCATCTTTCTTTAAGCCGAGAGTCTATTGAAAATAATTTCTCTACCCTCAAGACAAGACAAGGGTGTTATTTTTCGGACTATCTGTTTAGTATTTTTTTCTATCAAAATTTAGATCTCAAATTTTAAATTTTATTTTCTTTTAAAAATTTCTTGACCAGTGAAAGAATGCCACGTTGAGTATCTCACTTTGCACACAAAGTGTCAAAGAGAGATTGTATTAGTATTATATAGCAAACAATGGTCCTCCGTGTGAACTTTAACGTCAAAAAAGATCTTTCGCGAGTTAAATCCATGAAAAAGAATGCACCTCCGAAGACGTCTGAAGACATTTATAATAAATAAACCAATGACTCAAAATATTTTTTTGGAACTAAAGCATAGTTGTTAATTTAGTGAATATAGAATTTGAAATTTATGAATTCCTTCGACATAGGGGCGGCCCTTCCATAAAGCAAGTAAAGCAACTGTTTTAGGCCCCACATTTATGGGGCCCCCATTTTTTGTTACACTCAGTATTTTAAAAAGTATTTTTGGGGCGAGCCCTGGGGGAAGGCGCACCAAAAACGCCCTGAGGCGATGGTGTGGGGCGAAAGTCTCAAGAGGCGTACGCCCAGCAATTCGGGGCGTACTTACGGGCGTTCGAGGCGTACACCCAGGCGTTTGAGGCGTAAGCCCCAGAGACTTTTTCAAATTAAAACAAAATTTGTTGAATAAGTCTTTCATATAATACCTAAATTTTCAAAAGTCTGGTAATTACTCAAAAGTTTTAAAAAGGAACTGAAATTTATTAGATTTAAAAGTCAAGACCTTTCCTAAATCATGGTCTTTCCTAATTTTTTTTATCTTGTGCGCTAATATGCCAATATCTCCCAAAAGCAACAAATATTTAATTTTTTTTACAAATACAAAGAGAACTCCATTCTCCTTCATAGCAGCAAGTTCAAAATTCAAATTGCAGGTTAGTCATCATTTTTGTTCCTCCATGTAGAAAACTTTATTTTTTCGACTCAAGTTACTTGTGCTTCTAAGNTATGCAATTTTACATGTTTATAAATATTTACTATAATTATATTATTTTATAAAATATTAAAAATATACATATGGGGCTTACGCCCCGTGCCTCGAGGCATATGTAAAACGCCCCGCCTTACGCCCATACCTTTTAAAACACTGGTTACACCTAATAGACTATGTATAAGTTTAAATGTTCTCTGAAGTGAAAAGGTTTGATTTCTTTCTTTAACAAGTATAGAGAAGAAGGATTTGCAATTGCTATAATTTCTGCCAAGAAAATTGTACTTGAAATGAATATTGAACCCGAATTTTGTAAGAAACGTATGATATATAGAAAGTAACAACTTGATGAGAATCTTGATAATAAAATCTCAAAATCTTTAGAAGAGTCCTTTGGAATTGATTACTTTATACATAATAGACAAGGCTATTTTTTTCACTTCAAAATAGATTTGAACAATTCGAAGCATATGAAAATATATTTGGTTTTCTATTTAGCGGTTAAAATTAAGATCACTAGATGATGAAAATTTGAAAAAGTATTACCTTAATCTTGAATGTTCCTTAAAGCATAATAATCAATTCGATATTGATGGTTTAGATTTATTTTCGAAATTAAAAATATTAAGAAAAATAGTATTATTAGAAGATAACAGTTTAAATGACACACTCGGTCAAATAAAAAAATTTGATTCATTTTCCAATGCGTATATTACTTATGGAATAATGGTAACAACTCTTGTTTCCGTTGTTTCAACGGAAAAAAAATTTCAAAATTAAAATTGATAAAATCTCACCTAAGACAAACAATGTCTCGATAAAGATTAAATGGATTAGGTATATTGTCAATTAAGAAAGACTTATTAGGAGTTATTGATTATAAGAAAATTATTAATAACTTTGTATTTAAGAAACGCAAGAAAAATAGACTTCAAATAAATAAATATTTTTTTTAAAAAAAAAAAGTTAAGGCCCCTCATAAAATTTGGTTTTAGGCCATAAAACTGGTCGGGCCGCCCCCGTCCATTTGAATTATCATAACACTCACTTAAGGGTGGCATGTGGGCCGGTTAGGAGCGGGCCGGACCCAGGACCGCAAGCCCAAATGGGCGGTGGGCCTAAACGTTCCTAACCGGATAGGACCGGGACCGTGGGGAGGTGGGCTGGGTAGTGGGCTGGTCCCATAGGCGAGGCCCGCGAGACCGGGACCGTTTGGGAAGTGGGCCTGTTCAAGNAAAAAATTTAGGTCACAATTCTATAATATAATTTACAAGGAATTGCTTTAGATATTTTTATTACTATTTTTTTTCTCTAACTTCTATAAAATTTTTAAAAAAATAAAAAGTATTTGTTGGGCCCACTTAGGCCCGGGACCGGCCCACTTAGGCCCGAGACCGTTAGTTCGTGGTTCCGGTCTCGGACCGATTAAAACAAGAAGCCCGCGAAGCCCGGAACCACTTAGGACCGGCTCACTTAAGACCAGGACTACGAAACCCACTTAGGATCGGGCCCGACCCACATGCCACCCTTACACTGACTGTTGTTACTCTTACATGCATATGTTGTCGAGTTTCTCTTAGCCATTTCGCATGCTTGTCTACCAATTACCCAATCTAGCACAAGAGGAAGCTTCTTTTTTCTATGCAAACTGCCAAGGTAATTCTTATAAAAGTTAAAAGCAGCTTCTTCAACTACAAAAGCAAAGCTGCAACTATCACTAGGCCTGCCTTTCACATATTATAGTATAATTATAATAGCTGCTTAGTGTTATGCTGACGTTCCATGCTCCCTTAGGGAATAGGGATGGATGTCTGGCAACAACCAACACCAGAAACACTCACCATCATTAGCAACATCCTCAATACTATCGCACGTGGACATTGTATACAGTCAAAATCGAGTTTGCCCTTCGTGTGATTAATCAAGATTAGAGCATGATGGACCGAGGTTCGTCATTATAATATCGAGTTGTGATGTGAAGTTAGATTGTTGAGCTCGAGACCAGAGACCGATCAATAACGAGATCGAGCTCGAGATCCAGAGACCGATCAATATCGAGCTCGAGACCCAAAGACCGATCAATATCGAGCTCGAGTTAGTATCGAACTCGAGACTTAGAGACCGATCAATATCGAGTTCAAGACCCAGAGACCGACCAATACCGAGACCAACCAAAATCGAGCCAAGAGACAAAGAGTTGTTGTAGCCGCACTAGGGGAGAGAATCCTGGCGGGAATCAAGGAAAAACTAATTAACTAATCTACCATGGGATCCCCACTATGTATTTTTAATTATATCCAAAGTAGGATTCCTCCACTATATGAAGAGTAGTTATCATTCATTCGGGGAGACTTATTTATAGATTGAGATATATTCATACACTCTCACATTCAGAGACTATTGAGATTTACACACATATAATAAATATTATCCCTTTTTGGGGCTTTGATATTGATTCATCTTGTTCATTTATCAATTATGCTTTACTCAATTTGGGTTTGTATTCATTCCTTTTTACAGTCAATATTAGATATATTTCTACTTATTTTTCTAATTTGCACCAAGTTATACCACGTATCCTTAGAACTACGTATAAATTCAACTCTATCCGTTTTTTGGGTAAACAGTTTGGCGCTCACCGTGGGGCTAAGAATAACAGTGGTTATTTGGTACGAATCTCTACAAAACATACCATTTTACACTTGCTCTTGGAAGTGTCTTTGATTTCAGGTTAAAAACGACGAACTCACAATTAATGGCCC